ACATATATGAACGATGGATGTTATACCCACAGGTACCAAGTTGTGTAAACCATGATATCATCGTAACACACCACACGGCTGTGGACGTTTTCTAAATCATGATAATATTGGTTCAAAGGTGAAGAACAGAAGTAACTTTCGAAGCATATTAAATCATGTTGTGTCATAAATAAAACACAAAATAATATATTCCTTAGAAATGTGACTTCATTTAGAATAAGGACGTAATTCGCAGGTCAAACTGTTTATTTTAACACTTCCAGAAAATCTTGTCTTTAACGAATTTCTAAAGTCAGTTATTACTATTAATAATTGTTGATACTGTAGTAACTTGTTTCACGATATATTTTGTAAAAGTAGACTCGTTGATTTAACTTTCATTTTTCTACAGAACAAAGTGGAAAAAGCAAATGACCACAAGGATGAAGATCGCTCAGCGTCAGGGGATTTGGCCCCCACATTATCTCACCACAAGTCATGCCTTTAGCCCCTTTCTGAGTACCCCCTACATAACTCCAGGTTTCGGTTCTATCCACTCTTCGCCTGCCGGGACACGTGGCTCGGAAGATCCGACATCTGCGCTCAGCCTTGCGTATGGAAACAGCGGGTGCACGAGTAACTCACTGACCGAGCAAGTAGAAGGAAAGAACTAACCTGTCTGGGGGTCATTCGACAGCTTGTGGGGTATTGTAAAGTCTCATTATTCTTGATATTCCTAAAAAAAAAAGAAAGAAAATCTTAAGAGTGTTTTTAACCCAAAGTAGTTGGCTGTGCTATTTATTACCGAGGGAATAAAAAAAACTATCCAATCATCGTGTGTTTGTGTGTAGAAAAACCGTGTATATATATTTGTGTGATCTAAAAATTTGTTCCACAGACCCAGGTTTGCGAACAATAAATCGTTAATTTGGAAATCCTTGAAAAGCTCGTCGTGCCTGGTGAGTTGATATACGTTTCGAGCAAAGACAACAAGATTCGTTTCACAAGCTTCGAAACTAATTGGTCTTATCTTTAATTTTTTTCCTTGGATTAGTATTTGGAGTTTTACGAGTGTTGCTTTTTAGGAAATTTCATGTTTGTACAATGTTAATGTTACAATGTTTTTCTATTGTTTAAGAAGTACTTGCGACAAAGAAATTGTGTAAATAAAGTTGAGAAGTGTGTATTTACACACCCACACTCATGTGTGTATATATATTTACCTGAAATCAGCTCTTTAAATCCAGAATTGTATCACATTTCCTCCTGACTTCTTGCTTCATTATCTCACGAGGAAAGTTGTACGACTTTCCTTGGAAAGCATCAAACGGGTGCCAAGTCATCCTGGAAAGTACAGCGAGGTTAAGGAACTAAGACAATGTCGTGTTTTTTAAACGTTATTGTCCCCCGGTGGGAAAGCGGTAAGTTTATGCATTTAGAACGCTAAGATACGAGGCTCAATTCCTCTCGGTAGACACAACAGATAGCCCAATTCGGCTGAGCTCTAAAACAAATAAACACGTTTAAACGTTACATTATGTTATTAAACATTAAAAAAGTGTGTTCTAAAACAAACAAACAAACTTAAACGTTACATTATGTTATCAAACATTAAAAAGTGTAATTATTTTATCATACCAACTGCTTGTAGGCTACTTTTTGTTGATCGTAAACTATAGACTTGAATACTTAACTTTTGTTTCAACTATTAACTCAGAAGTACATCAGTATACCTCCAGTAAGATAGAAATGTCTCACAAAAGTAATTATTCTATCTCTATAGTATGAACTGGCCGAAAGCATATCATGTAGCATTAAAACAAATCGCATCAATGTTGTTCGGTTGTCAAGGCCGTTTACATGCGTGTATGGCTTCGCAGCAGAACTTTGCGGCTGACAATTTTTGCAGCACAGTGAAAACGAGCTGATTCACTTAAGCCTAATTTATAAACAACGTAGGAAATCTCGCCATTATTCTATTAAAATGTTATACTGATATGTATACGTATCAGATACGTACTTTATACGTTTAGTAGTACGCTTGTATGATGATCGGTTGTTATATTCTGAAAATTAAACATTTTCTAAATCTTATTAAGTTATTATTAATTCTCAAAATAAGATCAAAATATTCAATAAAGTGTTAAAATTTAAGATTTACATGAAGGCCCGTGGGGGCGTTATAATGTGACGGTCAATCCCACTATTCGTTGGTAAAAGAGTAGCCCAAGAGTTGGCGGTGGGTGGTGATGACTAGCTGCCTTCCCTCTAGTCTTACACTGCTAAATTAGGGACGGCTAGCGCAGATAGCCCTCGTGTAGCTTTGCGCGAAATCCCAAAAACAAACAATCATCCGTGGGGGCATTATAACGTGAAGATCAAACCAACTGTTCGTTGATAAAGAGTAGCCCTCGAACAGTTTTGCGCGAAGTTCAGCAAACAAACAATTTTTTACCCCCATCCTGCCACTTTTAGAAACCACATTTCATTAAGTTCAGTATTTTTTTTAATCGAGTTTTTTTCGTTTTCCAAGAGCTGGAATTTTCTGTCCTTCCTTTCTATCACTGTAGCAGCTTCAGGAAGGAGTTAAAAAAGTGTAGTTCACAAAATTAATGTTTATGTCAATGTATGGTGAATGACATCTGTTGGATTAAAAGCTTTAACAGAAAAGTTTCCTTGCGTCATTTTCCCACGCTTTGTTTTTTTTTCTTTGATTTATGACGCCACCTTGAAAGTGCAACTCTCGATAGTGTGATAAATGACTCAAGACCTACCATTTTCTTTTAAAGAAATAGCACCAAAAATATTTAACTGTTTGTCAGAAGCTAAATATGGATTACTTGTTTCATCCCTGCGCCCTAACGACCGGCACTCTTCCCGCTATCGCCTCGATCTTTTGGGATAACTGTTCAGCTATTATGATTTGTTCTTCTTCTGTACTTTATTTTTTATTCTTTAGAACCAAAAGGTTGAGAATAAAAAAACGAGTTCAAAGAAAAAAAAATGACTAGACTTTACATAATGGAATGGCGGGAATATCTTCGTGCATATGTTTACAGATTTGAAAGATTATCGATTTCTTCACTCCTAGCTTACTCACAGCTGGCGTTTTAAATAGTTCCAAAAAGCAACTCGAACTTTCGTTGCATATGCAAAACCCAACAAAAATGCTGAGAAAACGGCTTATCGATTTACGAGTTTATTTACTTTTTCCACGTGTTCGAGTCCTTTGAATTATTCTTTACATTCTCTCCAGTCCAAAAAAAAAACTTTTTCAATAGCATGTCCTGAATTGTTATTATTCGAAAATCCTAGCCATGTGTATGCGGTAATTCTTTCTACATATGTATGTATATAATAATTCAATTTTATTTTAAAAATGTAGAGTTTTCTTTAATAGACTTTCTTTAGAAGTTGGCTAAAGTCCACTGCAGAATTTTCAAAGAGAAACAAAAAGTCACTGATTTTAGTTCCCGTGTCGATGTTTTAAATCACATTTTGTTTCACCACTTTCTGTGTTCTGTGATGCCACTTCTGGTCGTTTGGGAAATCTATTTAATATTAAACTTGTATGTTTTGTGTCTTTTATTTGTTTTCGGGAGGAGGGGGGGACCGATACATTTGGGTGACAACAACAAGACAAAGGGTACCCTAAACATTTGTTCTCCTGGATCTTCGTATATGACTATCTGCGTAAGCTGATCCTACAGTGAGTAAAAGTGGCTCTGGTATAAAAATTATATAAATTAATGACATTTTCAAATAAAAAATTATTTTCGTCTAATCGAACGTGGTGTCATTTGTTTTCTTTTTCGATTCTAAACTATTATATGGAAATCCGAATTTTACTATCGCGGACCTCATTTAGAATGCTTTATGTATAATGTCCTAGCTATGTAGATATGACCACAATGTCCTAACGTGTCACGGTTTATATCTATACTAGTTCCTTATGACCAAACTGTTCAAAATATCGAGATCTAAGAGTTGTTTGTTTTCTAATAAATTTCACAGTAAATATCATCTGTATCAATATGAAGTAGAATATATACTGAATGTTTCTCATGACTCGGTTACTTGTCTATATAAGAGGCACATTAAACTCAAACCGTCATATTAAAGTTGAAGTCTTAATTATCTATGATGCACATTAAACTCAAACCTTCATATTAAAGCTCAAGTCTTAATTATCTATGATGCACATTAAACTCAAACCTTCATATTAAAGCCCAAGTCTTAATTATCTATGATGCACATTAAACTCAAACCATCATATTAAAGTTGAAGTCTTAATTATCTATGATGCACATTAAACTCAAACCGTCATATTAAAGCCCAAGTCTTAATTATCTATGGATGCACATTAAACTCAAACCTTCATATTAAAGTTGAAGTCTTAATTATTTATGATGCACATTAAACTCAAACCTTCATATTAAAGTTCAAGTCTTAATTATCTATGATGCACATTAAACTCAAAGCTTCATATTAAAGCCCAAGTCTTAATTATCTATGATGCACATTAAACTCAAAGCTTCATATTAAAGCTCAAGTCTTAATTATCTATGATGCACATTAAACTCAAAGCTTCATATTAAAGCCCAAGTCTTAATTATCTATGATGCACATTAAACTCAAACCTTCATATTAAAGCCCAAGTCTTAATTATCTATGATGCACATTAAACTCAAAGCTTCATATTAAAGCCCAAGTCTTAATTATCTATTCAGATAATTAGCTTCAGATCCATGTTAATTGATCCCTAGACTTCAAATGAGTCTATATATTTAATCGTTTTAACCTCCCCAAGCTTTAGTTTTGAGTTTAGATGTTTCACTAAGTTCTATCGTGTCTAGCATCTAAATATTCTATCATAGCAAGAAGATATCCAATCTTCAGATCTGGTCATTCACGTTAAACTCTTAAATTTTAGTTCTGAGTTGAAACATTAAATCACCTAAAGCTCCCTAAGCTTGAGTTCTGAACCTACATATTCCAGAAAAGTGAACTCCTCACAGTTTTCATATTAAATCACCTAAAGCTCCCTAAGCTTGAGTAAAGTATTCCAGTAAAGTGAACTCCTCACAGTCCGGGTCTGTTTCCCGATTTTCCATGTAGACAGGCTATACAAGTTTCGTTTCTTTCCTCCAAGACTGTATATCTGAGACAAGTTAGTTCCTTAAAGTCTGTACTGATATCTTGCCAGCTCTCTTCTTTATAATAACGCAAAAAAACACTAAAAGTATATTGCACTATCCAAGTGCTACGTTCTTTCATTATTCCACGAAACCACGGATGACCTGAGGTATAAACGTGACAAAGTAAGACCAGCCAACGTGATAGTGTTTGCTTTAAAGATACTATAACAACAGTAATGGTTATTGAAGAAGAAACCACAGAAGAATAAATGCAGTGTTTGAAGATGGTGATGACGAAAATTGGGAACTGTGGGACGATACACCCTCCGAAGTATGCTGACACGTTTAATAACGAATTAACAAATTGAACTTCGCCAGCTCACCACATTCTGTAAAATAAAATCGAAACTTAATGAAGTTTTATGACAAATGAAAATGAAAAATGTAGAAAATTCGTTTGCACTTCGACAGCTCAACCGATTTCCACTTTAACCAAATCCATTTCAATTTGAAATTTGGTATGAAACTTTACTATT